ATCTTGGCTCATTGCAACCTCTACCTCCTGGCTTCATGTGATTCTCCTGCCTCAGTCTCCTGAGTAGCTGGGATTACAGGCACCTGCCACCACACCCCACTATTTGTTTTTTTTTTTTTTTTTTCTTTTTGTTCACAACTTTTTTTTTTTTTTTTTTTTTTTTCTTTTGAGTCGAAGTCTTGCTTTGTCTCCCAGGTTGGAGTGCAGTGGCGCAATCTTGGCTCACTGCGACCTCCATCTCCCAGGTTCAAGCAATTCTCCTGCCTCAGCCTCCTGAGTAGCTGGGACTACGGTGCGTACCACCATGCCCAGCTAATTTTTGTATTTTCAGTAGAGACGAGGTTTCACCATGTTGGCCAGGCTGGTCTCAAACTCTTGACCTTGTGATTCACCCGCCTCAGCCTCCCAAAGTTCTGGAATTACAGGCATGAGCCACCACGCCTGGCCATCGGCTAATTTTTGTATTTTTAATAGACACGGGGTTTCACCATGTTGGCCAGGCTGGTCTCAAACTCCTGACCTCGGGTGATACACCCACCCGAGCCTCCCAAAGTGGCAAAGTGCTGGGATTACAGGCATAAGCCACCATGCCTGGCCACAAAAAATGTTTAAAATTAAAAAATGGTTAGGCATGGTGGCCCACACCTACAATCTAAGCTACTTGAGAGGCTGAAGGGAGGATCACTTGAACCCAGGAGGCTGACGCTGCAGTGAGCTATGATCACAACACTCCACTCCATCCTAGGCTACGGAGCAAGACTTTAAAAAAAAAAAAAAAAAAAAAATTCAGTTCAAATCTCATCTTACCATAAAACCTAGCTACAACCCCCAGAAAGAACCAAATTTCAAATACTAAAATATGCCAGGCGCAGTGGCTCATGCCTGTAAATCCTAGTACTTTGGGAGGCTGAGGTTCGAGGATCAGCTGAGGTCAGGAGTTCAAGACCAGCCAGGCCAACGTGGTGAAACCCCGTCTCCACCAAAAATACAACAATTAGCCAGGTGTAGTGGCAGACACCTGTAATTCCAGCTACTTGGGAGACTGAGGCATGAGAATGGCTTGAACCTGGGAGGTGGAGGTTGCAGTGAGCTGAGATTGTGCCACTGTACTCTAGCCTGGGGGATAGAGCAAGACTCTTGTCTCCAAAAGAACAAAAAATACTGAAATACATCTGGGTTGTGTACTGGGTATCTGTCATATTCTTAACTGCCCATCTTTTGAAAAATATTTCACTATTGGGGAAAATCCCACATCGTGAGCTCTGTCTTCCTAGGATAGATATCAAAACACAAATTCCCAGCCTCTCTTGCTGCTAAGATGTAGGTATGTAAATTGGCTCTGCCTACCAGACACCCTCACAAGACTTGACTCAGAAAAGAATAAGGTAGTGACTCGGCTTCTCAACACATGGACTGTGGCTGAAGTGTTGGGCTTTCTGGGAGAGCAGGGGGGTCATGTCAAGTGAAACTGGTGAGACTGGAGTAGCAATTTCCTCCTGTACTTGAAAGAATAGTCACTGTTCTCATAAGGCCAGTTTTGTGCATGATCTTGGGCACCACTCCTAGAAGTATAGTCTTGACTCTGTCCCCAAAATTCTCAAAAGCTCTTCCTACCACTTTAGTAAACCCTTTCCCACTTAGCCAGTCAGCTTCTCTTGCCTGTCCCCAGTGACAACCAGGTTTATAGGAACTACAGCTTTCTATAACTTTGGGACATCAGCCTTTAGAATATACAATCATTCTGGTGTCTCGCTACCTGTCTCCTGATATTTACCAGAATCAGTTGTCCCTGGAAGGAGGAGATGAAAAACACAGTACACGTTTGTTCTCCACTCCAGGTCTCAGTCATTTACTTCCATAACGCCTTAAGACAAACAGTCATAAGAGACCTGCTTCATCTTTATAAGAGAAGGGTATACTATACTTTAAGTATACCTGTTCAAACAATTAGTTACAATATTTCATAGTTACAACTTGATGACTAATTTTGAATTTGATTGTTAAATACCACCCTCTTATACTAAAACAGATTCTATATCACAGATTTCAAATTGGTGAGTAAATCTGGTCTGCAGAGGGTTTTTTCTGGCCTATAATGCTTTTAAGCTTTTTTTTCTAATTGTTGACGGAGATACAAAGACTTTGCAGTTACATCTGTGATTTCTGCTACTCTTCAACAACAACAATGGATGATTATGGGCCTGCATGCCGCAACCTGTGAGGGAACGGGCGCCCTTTTCACAGGCCATTAGTTCAACCGGCCACTGACAGGCACTCACAAATCAAATTTTTACCTTAAATTTTGTTGTCTATATTGGAAGTTGGGGAGACTCTACCTACCATTTTATGAAAATGTAAAGTAAACAAACATAAAAACACATTTTACATTCGTATAAAATGCTGGAATAAAAAAGATTAAATCCAAATAGAAAAGGCAAGTTAAAAGGGAAGCAGCAGACGGTTGGGACTTGGACTTTAAGATTCCAAAGCAGGTCAAACCAATTTAGAAAATGTTCTATGTATGTGCAACATAAGGTGGACTCTGAAGCTAACTTTTATAAAACAGGAGCAATTTGTAAGAGGCACTGACAGACTACAAAGGTGGCTTCCTTTATTTTGGCAAACTTTAAACATCTCATTTTGACACTAATTCAAAATGCCAAATAGAATGACCCCCCTTTCTAAATAATTAAAACAATTTACATTTTAAACATGTACTTTTGTAGCATGTATTCTATCATCTGAAATATTAATAAGATCAATAATTTTTCTTTTTTTTCTTTTTTAATATAAAGAAGGGGTTTCACCATGTTGGCCAGGCTGGTCTCGAACTCCTGACCTCAAGTGATCTGCCCACCTTGGCCTCCCAAAGTGCTGGGATTACAGGCGTGAAGCCACCACACCCAGCCAAGATCCAAGAATTTCTTAACTAAACAGTAAACTGACCCTAAGTATATACTCTGTGATCAATTTGATAAGACTAAGTTTACTGCACCTTAATTCCAGGTATAAAATGATTTAGAAAGCATTTTGACTGGGGGAAATGGAAAATAAGGACAGGTCAATGATCTGCAGTTTAAAATACAAAATCCTGTCACGTTATATCTCACATGTTCAAGACACCCTCTATGTGCTGGAAAAAAAAAAAAATGATGGTTCTCAGAAACAGTATAATCCATTAATAAGTCATCCAATACACAACAATTTTTTAAATTCCTTATAAAAAAGGAGTCCATGTATTCACAGATACTGTACAATCCCCAGCTCCTGTATATTACATCTCCTGTATATTCATATCTTCCCCATCAGACTATACCAGTCACCTTAGTACTGTGGAAATGTTCCATCAATTTTAGCAGCCCAGGCCATGAGGCCCCCCACAACATCCCGGACTGTTAAAGAGTCTAACTCTGGAGCTGCTGATAAGGACTGGAGGATCTTCACGGCTTTCTGTGAGTCATTTCCCAGTTTGCAAATCACATAAATGGGGAGAGCAGCCCCTTCTTGTGTACGCCGCTTCTCTTCCCGGATTGCTTCTCCTAAGAGTGTCAGGCTCTCCGCATCCCTGCGTTCCAAATGTTTCAGAGGGATGTGTAGGGCATGAGGCAAACGACAGATGTCTACCTCGACCTGAGGCCTGACGTCCAGCAACAGATGGGATGCCCCAGAATCCAGAAGTCGCTTATAGTCGGTAACGGAAACACGCTCCTCTGGGCTCAGTAACTGCAGGGAGCGGCATTTATCGGTGGCTGAGGAGCCACAGAAGGCTTCATAGTCCAGCAGATCAGTCACAGTGGGCCGTTCTCCGCAGGCTGCACAGTCAAGCCTGCGACTCCGCAGCCGAATACAGCGGAAATGCCCTCTCAGGGCATCAAAGAGCAACAGGCTGCCACTGTAAGAGGGGCCCAGACCCGCAGCGATTTTCAGCACTTCCAAGGCCTGCAGGCAGCCCAGGACCCCAGTTACCACACCGAGCACCCCGCCGTCCGCGCAGTTGGTCACTGTCTCCGCTGGGGGTGGCTGGGGGAATATGCAGCGATAGCAAGGCCCACCGTCATAATGGTAGACTGTGATTTGGCCCTCGAAGCGCAAGGCACTGGCAGACACGAGAGGCCGACCCGCCAGCACACATGCGTCATTAACCAGGTAGCGAGTGGGCACGTTGTCCGAGCAGTCGGCCACCACATCATATCGGCGGACCAGGTCTAGGGCAGTGGCTGGCGTAAGGGCCTGAGTGTACGGCACGCATTCCACCTCCGAATTGAGGCGGCGCAGAGAGGCGGCGGCCGAAAAGGCCTTGGCCTGGCCAGCCAGTGCCTCGCCATGCAGCACTTGGCGGGCCAGGTTGCTCATCTCGACCACGTCATAGTCCACAAGGCCAAGGCGGCCCACGCCAGCCGCTGCCAAGTACTGCGCCAGTGGACAGCCGAGCCCACCGCAGCCCACGACTAGCACGGACGCAGTCGCCAGGCGCAGCTGTCCGTGCACGCCCAGCTCCGGCAGCACTAGCTGCCGGCTATAGCGCAGAATCTCATCTCGGGACAGAGCAGCCTTTGGCGGCAGCGGCGACACCGGAACCAGCCGTTCCGGCTGCGGTTTCTGCTCCGCCAAAAGGGCAGCCGCCAGCTTCTGCTTCAGGGAATACAATTCCTCCTCACGTCGGGCAACTTCAGCCTGTAAGGAAAGTACCTCCTCACGGGAAGCCATGACGACCTCTTCCGGAAGTTGTCATGAAAGGCATTTCCGCTTCCGCTTCCAGCTTCTGTCTCCTAGCGACTGGGATAAACTAAAAAACTTCATGGAGCTTGGGAAAAGGTGTTAATAGACATGTACTTCCTAAAGAAACCTTCAGATTAAACCTTAAAGATGCATAAATCCTGAATATTTCTAATTGAACCACACAACTGTTCTAGAAGAACCAGCACTCAATCACACAGATCATCCCCCTCTCCCAAATTTGGTAGGGTCCGACCTGTCCTTTTTCCGCGCCTCATTTGCGCCATTCCGCTTCCGGCGTCTGGCTCACTTCCGCCATGGCCTCCTTGGAAGTGAGTCGTAGTCCGCTCAGGTCTCGGCGGGAGCTGGAGGTGCGCAGTACACGACAGGACAAATGTTCGGTGCTTTTACCCACCTACAACGAGCGCGAGAACCTGCCGCTTATCGTGTGGTTGCTGGTGAAAAGCTTCTCCGAGAGGTAGCGCACCAGGTCTCCCTCCGCGAGGAATGAGATGAGCTGGCTTCCCCGGCCTGGGTGTCGGCAGCTGGCTGCGCGAGTCGGCCCCGTCAGCCTTCTTTGGCTCACGCAGGAAGGCTTGGGGAGAGGGCCACTCTGCGAGGGAAGCAGAGGCAGATGCTTGTTGGGTTTTCTTCGTGTCCTGGGTTCTTATTCCTGTCCTTGGGCTTTGTGAGACACTCATTTATCTTTATTATGAACTATCCCCGTCCCCCGTTTTTTCGTAGAAGGGTTGCCCACTCTTTTACTTGGAAGCGAGCCTGAAAGCGTGACCCCAGTCTTCCCTCTAGGTGGTCAGGATCTGCGGCAAGAGCCGAGAGAGTCCAAGCGAGAGCGCTCACCCTCCATTCCGGTGCTGAGTACTTATATAAGCATGAGGTTTGGTCTGTGCGAATTAGGGAGCTGTTGCTGGGCACGATAACCTTTGTGGAAAGGAGAGGGCAGAAGAGCATCTTCGCTGATCATGGTGGATGTTTGGTGTGATTGTTAGAACCGGGATGGAGGGGGTGGAGTTCGAATTTGGAAGTGTTATATGCAGTGTTTATTTAAAACTGCAGAATATCTTGGAGTCGGTACGAAGTAACTTGTTCTACGATGGCACAAATGGGATCATGATGTGAAATCTTTGGAGACTTTTTTTTTCATATTAACGTATATAAATATAGCAAATTACTTTGGAAGTTAGGTAACATTCCATATGTGTCTGTTATTTAATCAGGTCATGGCAATGAACGGATTATTTCCAGAGGTTTTTGGTTGTTTTTGGTTTTTTGGCTTTTGCTTTGCAAGTGAGAACAAGGACTTTGCTCCCACCATATTTTTCAGCTGAATTTAGAAAAGTGCTTGACACATAATGGTGCTCCTTTATTGTATCAATTTTGGCAGCAGACACACTCGTACTTGTGTACTGGGGATAAATTCTTCAAGGTAGGATTTCTGCGTCGACAGAGAGGTGCTTAAAATGGACAGTTATTGCCAAATTGCTCTAAAGAAAAAGGATTATACCAGTTCAGGATTCTCCATTCTTCAGAGTGCCTGTTTTCCCATCAACCAGTCTGCTTGAGCATTATTAAATTTAACATTGTTGGAAGTGCTAATTTGTGAAAACCGTTGCCGTCTTGATTGTATTTCCTTGCTGCTTTCACATGCCTTGCCCCTCAGCGTTTTAAAATTTATATTTGTCCGTTTAATCTTTTAATTTTGATTTCTATAAGCTCTAAATTAATTAACCATCATTCAACCGATCTCATTCAGGGCTTGTATTCTAATTTTGCAAAATTTTTTGCTGTTTTCTTTAATTTTTTACGTTGTACCATTTATCTTTCCTTTTAATGGTTTGTGAAAATCTTTTAAGACCAAAATGAGGTTTAATAAAGGAAACAAAACTATTTGCTTTTCAGATGCAATCAAATTAGCTGAAGTCAGCCCAGCTTGATTCCTTTAGGCTTCCTCTCCCGTAAATGGAGTAGCTAGCTGCTTTGAAGTGGTAGGGGACAGTAATTTGCTTTTAACGACCCCATTTTGTTTATGGAATTTTTCTTTCAGCACGTCTACTAAAATCACCGTACATGTTTTGGCATGTAAAGGTACCAGTGCCCAAATTTAAGGCACAGTGGGAAGCCAGAGTCATTGTATCTACTCTTGGAGAATAGATACACAGTGTTTTGTTTTCTTGTCTTCAGAGTTGCTGGGGCTGACTTGTTAAAGCCTTTAACAGTGGAATATGTTTTCTGCTTGATTTTCTTGCATATGTTTCTTAGAGCAGGACCAAGAGAAAACAGAATGTTATGTTGTCGGTATAAAATTTATAATAAGAATGCCTTTAAAAGGGAGGGAGTCGGGGGGTGTACTACATGTACACCCATGCAGTATTTATCCGCCAAGTATTGTGTTGCCTTGTTTTTAGGCTAGAAACTACCACCTGAAGTTAATGGGAAGTAACATGTTAATTCTGAAGCACAGTGGAATCTTTTGTAATGCTACTCTGCTTTGGTTTTTTTAAGCTGATAATGTGAGGTCATAGGCACAACTATTTGAAATCGTTTAAGATTGTGTCACCATTCTAAAATGGGGTTTTTAAAAGGTGAAATTAAATCAGATTTATACTTGATAATTCTATTTGGATTAAATTAGAAGAATAATCCCTCAGAATTACTCAGTTTGGTTTAAGTTACCATGTAAAGTACTTTTGAAATACTTTATGTAACTAAGATTTGGTATTAAGGTTCACAATTCTCTTTCCAAAGTAGGTAATAAAATTTCATATGATACATATGTCATTACATGATTTTCTTTTGAACTACAAAGTATGTTCTCTATGTAAGAAGGACGTTAGCATGTTTCAGCAACATACTGGGTTTGGAGGTAAAGTACTAAATGTTCGATATTTATTCTTTTGATAATTGAAGTTTTCCTTAATGATTAATATAGCAATAAATCTCCACTTATATTTTTAAGGAATTAGTGCTTTAAAAATTACTTTTAAAGTTAACATTGTCATTAATCATTAATACAAATTTAATTTTTTTTTAGTGGAATCAACTATGAAATTATAATCATAGATGATGGAAGCCCAGATGGAACAAAGGATGTTGCTGAACAGTTGGAGAAGATCTATGGGTCAGACAGAATTGTAAGTTATATGAACATTTTTCTGTCATGAATTGTGATTATGTCGGGGAAAGATGAGAAATAATGCTTAAATTCAGTCTGTTTGTTTAGAAACTGAAAAGATAAAGAGGAACTTAACACATTTGAGATTTAAATGTATTTTCATTGTCCTTAAAATTTTACTTATCTTTGGTATGTTGGGTCAGTGGTCATTTTACAGCAGAGAGTGAGCTTTTGGATGAACTCTGTTGATGACTAATTCTGCAGATCAGTTTTCTTGAAGGGCAAAAATTAAAGCTTGATACTGAATTGACAAGGAATATTGCAGAATTGGGTTGTAATTGGTAGTGTGTCTGTCTTAATCTTTCTTGCCCACTTTTTGTAAGTATTCTCATACTTTCAATAGAGAATACTGCCCGAATTTAAGAGCATGTAGGTAGAAAAAGTTACTGTTTTCTTGTGAAACGTTAATGACTTCTCAGAGTACTTGGCATTTTTAGTCTATAGAGTAGTCTTGTGGAAATAGATTGACTTCCTTAGTCCTAAACTTTAGATTTTCCCACTATACCTTGAAATTTGTTATTCTACTATAGAAGTAACTTAGGCAAATATAGAGTTTATTTTATAATGGCTTCATAAGTTTTATTTTAGGTCACTGGTTTGGATTTATAAATGTTTATACTTGTGAGCGCTTTTATAATTTATATTCATAAATTATTGCAGACCAGAGTTTTTCAGTGTTGGCACTATTGACGTGTGGACAGATTAATTCTTTACTGTGGGGGTTGTCCTGTGCATTGTAGTATGTTCAGCACCATATCTGGACTCTCCTCACTAGCTGCTGTTAGAAACCGTCCTCCCCAGTTGGCAACTGCAGATGTCCGGATATTTCAGATACTTCCTTTGGGGGAAAAATTATCCTTTGCCCCCAGTAGAGAATCACTGGTATAGAGAAAGAAGTGTCTTTGAGAACCTTTATTGTTATTTGCAATTCAAGAAATGGTAAATTAATCATCATTTAAAGAGAACAGTCACCCGGTCCAAACATTCTTGATAAGTCTTAGTAATAGAAATACTTTACACAACTCATGTTTATTTAGAGATGAATGTCAGTTGCATGAGGTCTTGGTGGCAAGAACTTAAAGGAATTGTATTACTCATATACATGGTAAATCTATAAATTCTTTCAGTCTGTCTCACAGATGTGTAACTCATGTCTGTCACACCTCAAGTCTTCTCTGAAAATCTCCTAATGGATAGGAATACAGAAGGAGGTAAAAAGTTAACAAATTTTCAGGCTTCTAGCAGAGACTTTCAGTAGTGCTAGGTTTAAATTTTTGGCCAATAGTTCCCCAGCTTTTCTTTTAGAAGCCCAGGGCAAAGGCCACTGATTCACAACACTCTGAGTTATGTGTGGCCATTTAATCTGGGACCATCAACCAGACAGCATTTTGAATACTTTTGTCATAAAATCTCAGCCTTAGGATGTGATTGATTGATTTTAGGGAATGGTTAATAAACTGACCTTTCAAATTTTGAAACAACATTGTCTTCAAAGACATTTTTCTTGTCAACCCAATAAAATTCAAAATGAGAAAAAAATTTGCATTCACTGTTAAGGTTTCCCTCTGCTACCAGATAAAATTCCTTATTCATTCATTATTTTATGACATTTAAATAAGTTAAACTAGAAAATGACTTAAAAGACAGTATTTGAAATCCTAATCCTGAAGACAATGGTATTAAAAAAAAAATAGTATTAATCCATGCTAGGGGTGACACTTGCTTTTAGTGATACATGTATGTTTAGTTGGGAAGATGAGGGATTACTGAAACCACGTTAGAATACATCAGGTAAAGTATTCAGCACAGATGCTCTGTCAGCCTTTCAAACTGGCTGAAATGAATCTTTCAGTAAAGAAGCCAAAGAAGATATTTTTAAAATTCTGTAGGTGGCGCAACTAAGCAAGAGGTTAGGCCATTTTCCAAGGTTACACAGCTAGGTGGAACCATAGAGAAATTGGGGGCACTTACTCTGAACTATTCACAGAGATCGGAAACTGTGAAGGACCTCAACTGTTCTGTGTTCAATGCTTCTATTTATTTTTTTTTTAAACGGAGTTTCATCATATTGGTCAGGCTGGTCTTGAACTCCTGACGTCAGGTGATCCACCCGCCTCAGCCTCCCAAATGCTGGGATTACAGGTGTGAGCCTCCGTGCCTGGCTTGAATGCTTCTATTATGTTTGGTTTATGTAGTTTGTTTCATCCCCCAACTTGAGATCAGATAAAGGCATCTATATTTTGCCATTATTTTCTTCCAGCTTTATTGAGGTATAATTGACAAAGTTATATATATTTAAAGTATACATTGCGATGGTTTGATACACACATGCATTGTGAAATGAATACCACATTTGGGGAACGAGCATGTCCATCATGTCACACAGTTATCCTTTAGAGCGAGTTGACAGTGGTGAGGACAGTTAAGATTTGCTGTCTGCATATTTCAAGTATATGATACGATATTATTAGCTATAGTCACCATGCTGTATATTAGATTCTCAGAACTTTATCTTACATTTTGTCATTATTTTATAGTTTAATATTTTAAAAACTTGTTCTGATAATAAAATGTAATACGTGTTTATTATTCTTAAAACATCAAATATAAGGTAAAAAGTTTTGGGCCAGGCATGGTGGCTCGTGCCTGTAATCCCAACACTTTGGGAGGTGAAGGAGTGAGGAGTTTGAGACCAGCCTGGCCAATGGTGAAACCCCGTCTCTAAAAAAAATAATAAAATAATAAAATAAAAAGGTTTGACTATTTGAAAATATTAAATTTCTGTCCTCGCTTTGGCAGCACATATGCTAAAATTGGAACGACATAGAGAAGATTAGCATGGCCCCTGCACACAAGGATGACGTGCAAATTCGTGAAGAATTATTTTAAAAAATAAAAATTATTTTTTAAAAAATTCAACTCCTGTCTATTCCCAAATGCCAAAATATTTCTAACAACATCAGTACCCCAACCAGATAATTCATAAGACCAGAACTAGAAATGGCCAGTAAACAAGAAAAAAATACTGAGCCTCACTGATAAGTGAAGATTTACAAAATAGGACAGTATATACTGGTCTTATTAACTGAAGATTTAATTTTCTCCTTTTTAACCAGTGTTTCTGAGAGTTATTATAGAACAAGTCCACTCAAATACTGTTGATCGTATTATAAATTGATACTGTTTTTCTGAAGTGTCATCTGGCAGTAATCTCATGACCCTCAAAAATACTTACACCTTTGTAATAAGTATAAAGCAGTTTATGAAACTGTATATATAGTATAATCTCAATTCTGTTTTTCAGTAACTTTTTGCAAGATTGTCTATGATAAATAGTTTTACAAAAGTTTTCGTCAAACAAATTCTAGTTTCACATGAAGTATTTTATAAGCAGTTGTGGTAACCATACTTTGAAGAGTATATGCCTGGCATTCTTGCAAGCACTTTATATGAATCTATTTCCTTGTTCCTCATGAAAGCCATGTGAGATAGGGGGCTCTGTCATGTCCCTTTATATTCTCAAAGCCACATGGCAAATGAGTAGTGGCCAGGATTCAAACCCAGACATTGTGGTTCCAGAGTTCATGTTCCTATCTGCAGTGCTATCCTGCCTCACACAGAAAGGGGCCATCAGATTGATGTGAAGAGGCAGAAAAGGATCGGGGAGGGTGGACAGGTGGAATTAAGAGTTTGAAAGTAAAGCATACCAAATAGAAACAGTGTGAATTTCCTACATAAAAAATAAACAAGCACATTCTTGTAAAATATAAATATTACCAGTAAACCCAAAGTTGCCTTTGATGAACATTTCTTTCTTTCTTTCTTTGTTGGAGTCTTGCTCTTTTGCCCAGGCTGGAGTGCAGTGGCACAATCTCAGCTCACTGCAAACTCAGCCTCCTGAGTTCAAGCGGTTCTCCTGCCTCAGCCTCCCGAGTAGCTGGGATTACAGACCTGCACCACTATGCTAGCAAATTTTAGTATTTTTAGTAGAGACGGGGTTTCATCATGTTGGTCAGGCTGGTCTTGAACTCCTGACTTCAGGTGATCTGCCCACCTCAGCTTCCCAAAGTGCTGGGATTACAGGCATGAGCCACTGTGCCTGGCCTGATGAACATTTTCTAATAGGCATCCCATTCCCTTGCCCAGGGGAGACCCAGGTCAACAGTTTGATGTGTTTTTTTGTTCATATGTGTGTGTGTATGTAAAACTAGGTAGTGTGGTGGTCTTGTTTCTGTCATCTTCCTATGTCATCATTACTTCTATCTTGAAGAACTTTTGTCATCACCTTATTTCCTTAGTTGCTCCGTAGTATTGTAATATTGTATATAAACCTTTGAACACTCTGAAAATTTTAAGTATTGTAGTCTCTCTTGTCCATGGTTTTGCTTTCCATGGTTTGTTACCTGCAGTCTGAAAAGAGGTAAGTACGGTACAGAAGATATTTTGAGTTAGACCAAGTTCACATAACTTTTATTACAATATATTATTATTATTGTTTTATTTTATTATTAGGTATTGTTAATCTCTTACTGTGCCTAATTTATAAATTAAACTGTAATAGATATGTATAGATAAGAAAAAGTATATATGAGGTTTGGTACTTTTGGAGATTACAGGCATCCCTTGGAGGTCTTAGAAAGTATCCCATGGGGTTTAGTGGGTGTGCAACTATAATAAAGTTTTGTTTGTTTTTTGAGTTTCACTCTGTCACCCAGGCTGGAGTGCTGTGGCACGATCTCAGCTCGCTGCAACCTCTACTTCCCAGGTGCAAGTGATTCTCCTACCTCAGCCTTCTGAATAGATAGGATTACAGGGGTGTGCCACTATGCCTGGCTGATTTTTGTATTTTTAGTAGAGACAGGGTCTCACCACGGTGGCCAAGCTGGTCTCTAACTCATGACCTCAAATGATTTACCCACCTCAGCCTCCCAAACTGCTGGGATTACAGGAGAGAGCCACTGCATGTAGTGAAAGTTACCTTTTCTTAAAAGAAAGATTTTCTAGCTGAAGCAGTTATAGAAAATCTCAGATGAGCTTTATAAGATTTGCTTTTTCAGGGCAGATAACAGATGGGGTCAGTATTTTGTCAGAAACTATTCAAATAAAATCTAGCTGTGATCTGATATATCCTGTTTGATTTTTTTCAGTGACTTGCAATTATCATAGATGCTTATTTGAATGTCTTTTCTCCCTGTAAACTCTTACCAGACAGCAGTGTATTTTATCCATCTTTATGCAAGATGTACTTTGCTATAGATGTAAATTGTGACTTAAAAAATTTTAAATGTGGGATAGTGGAGTAATAGTGTAGAGGATTTTTTTTTTTTTTAGCAGTTAGAGTTAAATTGTTATTAGCTTAAAATAGCCTATTATCGCTGTAAGATGTTTTTTGTAAGTCTCATGGTAATCATAGAGGAAAAGTCTAAAGTAGATTCACAAAAGATAAAAAGTAAGGAATCAAAGCATAGCACTAGAGAAAATAACTTAATCATGACCGTAGAGGAAATAGAGAAGCAAAAGAGCTACAAAACAACTAGAAGCAATTAACAAAATGGTAGTAGTAAGTTCTTACATGTCAGTGATTACCATGGATGTAAAAGGATTAAATTATCTAAAGACCTAGAGTGACTGGATTTTTTTTAAAAAGAACCAACTATATGCTGCCTACAAAAGACTTGTAAGGACACAGATAGACTGAAAGTGAAGGGATGGAAAATATGTTCTATGCAAATAGAAACCTGTGGTTTCTATTTGCATAGAATAGAGAGAATTTGCATGTAGTGAAAAAAAAATTCATCCTTCTTTAATTGAATTGAAAATGCTTTGTTGAGAGATTTGCAGTCAGAGGCAACCTGTTTATATACCTGCAAGTAAAGAAGGGAACAGATAGACAAGACATGCTCACTAATGAGTCGACCTGAATCCCATACCTCAGAAACGTAAGGCAGAGTGAGAACTTTGGCATTCGACTTTTTAAGTGTCCAGCCGAGAGGAAAAAGCTAAACAATAAAGTCAGGGTCCAACTATTAAGCAAAAAGATTTAGAAGGACTAAGTAATTGACAAGTAGTAAGAAAAGAGAAAGAATTTAACCTTTTTATTAGGAATATAACATGTCCTTAGACCAGTAGAGGAGATGAGGTCAACCAAGCATAAGGTCAAGGTAAGTTGGTAGAAGAAGAGTGATATTAGTGTTCAAAACCCAAGGGAATTGAGAGAACAAACATCAGATTTCCCAAGAAGGTATGAAATAGTGAGTTAAGTCCTACATTTTTCTAGGAAGGAATCAATAGGTTTAAAAGGAAAACCACATAATAGATGTAAGGACATATTTAAAATAGAGTCAATATCACCAGGAAAAAAAAAGTTTAAAATTTTGATTGTAGAGTTGGGTTAAAGAATGTTGTTTTTCCTTAGAAGCTGTGTTAAACTATTTGGTTTGTTACCAAATGCTTTTTTTTTTCTTTTGGCAAAAAAAAAATATTAGGCATACTTTGCTTTAAGTTCTAATAAGTGCTACTATATTTCTATTAAAGTGAGTATGCACTTTTGAATAAAGTAAGATTTAACATGATAAGATTTTTGTTTCTTTGTGTAAAATGTTGTTTCTTATTCCTACAGCTTCTAAGACCACGAGAGAAAAAGCTGGGACTAGGTAAGTTGTGGAACTTCTAATCGCTCATACCTGCTATTTGCCTGGTGAGATCATCCAGTGTGTATTTTCCCAGTTTGGAATAGGGCCAAAATACAGTAACATCCTGTGATAGTTTTTAATGGTCTTAATGACTTTTAAATGGTATAACTTGGGATACCTGTATAAGTCAGGGCCCACTCAGGAAAACAGAAACCACTGTAAGTCTTTCAGTGCAGGGAATATAATAGAGTCTCTGGTTACACCAGTGAAGGAATTCCTGAGAAACCAAATGAAACAGTGAGGCTAAAACAAGATTAGTAATAGCTGGAGGTCACTGTCACTCCTAGGGATGGAGCAACAGTGGGAAAAGATGTTTTTAGAGCCCAAGAACCTGGGCTGCCCAGAGGGAGCTAGAATGATGGGTTGGGGGCTGCCTGGCAGGAGCTAGAACTGTGGGAAATTCCCACTCAGAGGTGGGAGGGAAAGTAAAATAGGGAGGACTTAGACTTAAACTTTTCCCTTCTCTTCTCCCTCCTGTCTTCACCTGTACGTCCCAAAGGTGTTTGGCAGCCAGTTGACAAGAGAATCTGGAAAATGTAGTTCATTACAATATAGCACAGAGTAGGGAAGGGCCAGAGAATGGGTCTGAGGGCAACGATCTTGGACCAGCACGCTGCAAACCTAGGAATATTCTTTAAGTTATAAGTTTAAAAACTTACTCTTTAATGCCTGGTGCAGTGGCTCACACCTGTTACCTCAGCACTTTGGGAGGCTGAGGCTGGTGGAACACAAGGTCAAGAGATCGAGACCATCCTGGCCAACATGGTGAAACCCCATCTCTACTAAAAATACAAAACTTAGCTGGGCATGGTGGCACATGCCTGTAGTCCCAGCTGCTCAGGAGGCTGAGTCAGGAGAATCGCTTAAACCCAAGAGGTGGAGGTTGCAGTGAGCCATGATCATGACATTGCACTCCAGCCTGGTGACAGAGTGAGACTCCGTCTCAAAAAAAAAAGCTATTCTTTATTTTTAAAGAAGGAAGATTTCCCAGCTTTTAAACATACAGCATTATTGAAAAGCTCATATGAACTTGGTAATTCTGAGATGAAAATCTGCCTTTACTTGTGCTGTTGGTCAGATTTGCAATGTCAAATAAGCATGGAGACAGCACAGTTCTTAACTGGAGTCTGTTATCCTGAAGACCATCAATTCCCAAGCATCATCAGATGTTCTCAGAATCTGAACCCAGAAAATTTCTTTGGGATTGAAAAAAAAAATCTGAAAACTGCCATAAAACCAAAAAGTATAGTGTATATATTCACTTCTTTTTTTCTTTTCTTTTTCTTTTTTCTTTGAGACAGAGTCTTGCTCTGATGCCCAGGCTGGAGTGCAATGGCACAATCTCAGCTCACTGCAACCTCTGCCTCCTGGGTTCAAGTGATTTCTTGTGAGTCAGCCTTCTGAGTAACTGGAATTACAGGAGTGTGCCACCATGCCCAGCTAATTTTTTTTTTTTTAAAGACGGGGTTTCACCATGTTGATGAGGCTGGTCTTGAACTCCCAACCTCAGGTGATCTGCCCGCCTTGGCCTCCAAAGTGCTTGGATTACAGGCGTGAGCCACTACGCCTGGCCTAATTTTTTGTATTTTTAGTGAGATGAGGTTTCACCTTGTTGGGCCAGGCTGGTCTTGAACTCCTGAGCTCAAGTGATTCCCCCACCTCAGCCTCCCAAAGTGCTGGGATTACACTCATGAGCCACCACACCTGGCCAATATTCACTACTTAACAAAGTAAGTTAGAATAGCTCAGCCTTGCTCATAAGACACTTGTGAGGGGTCTGGGGTAGAGAATGCAGGGATCCCCAAGTCCTGCTCCTGACCAATTATCCTACCCTGCCAAGTCCCTGTGGGACTTTGAGGCATGGAGCTGGCTAAGTAATTGTCAGGTAGGCCTTTGGCCCGAAATACTGGAGCAGGGGTCTAGCATACCAGTGTAAAAGATACTCAGTGTGTAGCTTTTGTGGAAATGGACTTAGTGCTGGAAAGAGCAGAAGCTGGAAGCCTTGTTAGGTAGCCATCTAAGCATCAGAAGGTAGAGAAGAAAAAGGGAATTGAGATGTTTTGGATAGAGAATCAATAGGACTTAATTATAGTTTAGAAGTTATGGTTAAAGGCAGGAAATCAAGAATCATCTCTAGACCTGTGGATGGGGCAGTTGGATAGTTGGTGCTGACTTGTAAATGTGGAGCTCTAAGAAGAGGTCTAACCTTTTCAGTGTCTAGGGGAACTCTAAGGAAACTCCAGATGGGTTTTTTAAAGCATAAGAATATGTAATTGTTATGTAACCTCAGACTTTTAAACTTATAAACTCTTTTCTTTGCTAAACTGAAATAGAGGTATGATCTCTTCTGTTAAATTGACATCTCTGGAGGTGTGTGGCCAGCTACCGTCTTGATTATATACGTGAACCTATGTACTTAAGGTGAAAAATACCAATTTATTAATACCACTTTTAGAGGACTAATGGGTGCTTTTCAGCTGCTAAACAATTTCCTCCATGTTCAAATGTATATGTAAAGATTTCTGTTGGTTTTCTTGAATGGATATACTTTCACTTTTAGGAACTGCGTATATTCATGGAATGAAACATGCCACAGGAAACTACATAATTATTATGGATGCTGATCTCTCACACCATGTAAGTGGTAAATTTCTTTATTAGCTATTTATGATAGTCTTAGCCTATTTTACTGACTTGCTGTTTATTCTTTCCAAATTTCAGCCAAAATTTATTCCTGAATTCATTAGGTAGGTACTATTTCTAATATTTGAAAGAAATATGACTGAAATAATTTATCATACTGGTTTTGGGCATATTTTCATTTTATTAATCAAAAACACTCATGCTGTTTTTTTCTATCAAAAATACAGCAAAAGCTTGGGAAGTCAAGGCAGGAGGGTTTCTTGAAGTCAGCAGTTTGAGACCAACCTGGGCAACAAAAGGCGGCTTTGTCGCTACAGAAAAACTGGCACGCCTGTAGTCCTGGCTACTCGGGAGACTCAGGTGGGAGGATCAGTTGAGCCCAGGACTTTAAGGCTGCAGTGAGCTATGGTCATGCCACTGCACTCTAGTCTTGGTGACCCTGAGACAGAGTGAGACCCTGTCTCTAAAATATTTATTTATCTATATAGATAGTAGACACACACGCAACACACATTTCAGAGACTAAATGATGTATTTCAGGAGTCCTCAGGAGCAAATCAACAGGTACTTCCTTTGTTATTTGAATTCCTCAGACCACAGAAAAAGGTGGAAGATGGCTTCTCTGATAAATGGAATGAAGCCTTGAGTTACTAGAGTAAAACACCATGAACAAATAGAGTTTATTCCAGGAAGGCCAAAATGGCACATTATTGATAATCACGCAATATAATTCATTTATCATGTTAACAAAAAAAGTAGTATGATTAAGCCTGTAGATGCTAAAGGAGATATTTACTACCATTTTCTAGTTAAAACTTAAGAATAGAAGGAAATTATTTTTTATTTATTTATTTTTAAGACGAGGTTTCACGGTATTGGTCAGGCTGGTCTCGAACTGCTGACCTCAGGTGATCCGCCCGCCTCAGCCTCCCAAAGTGCTGGGATTACAGGCGTGAGCCACCGCACCTGGCTAGAAAATTAATTATTTTAATTTTAGAGACAAGGTCACCCAGGCTGGAGTACAGTGGCACAATCACAGATCATTACAACCTCAACGTCCCTGGCTCAAGTGATCCTCCCATTGCAGCTTCCCAAACAGCTGAAACTAAAGGCATGTGTCACCATGCCTGACAATATAT